GAGCCCAGGCCTGCAAAGGAGTGGGCAAATCCCCTGAGATTGCTCTGCCTGGAATGTGGCAGAGCAGAGAAGGCTGGGGACAAAAGGCAGGTTAGATCTCTTGAATCTTCTCTATCCCTCAACCTCGTCCCCGTACCCCTTGTCCCACCCCAACTACCAGGGGCCCTGGTCCTTTTATCAGGATCCTGGGCACTGCCAGGAGTTGAGGAGGAGTTGGCCCTGTTCTGTGGTTTGTGCCAACAGCAGGAACCTCTGGCATTCCAAGGCCACAGAGAACAAAGCCAGCCTGAGCCTCACGAAAAGCCCTGGGTCTGGGTTTTTTCCTTGGCGCCTCCCCAAGCTGTCAGGAAGGCAGCCCACAGCAGTGCCCTGGTGCTGGCCGGAGAGGATTCCTGTGTCCTGACTCCTGCTGCTCTGGGCTGGACTGCAGGTGCCCGGCTGAGGGGAGGGCACTCCCACCCAGTGAACTGCTCCCCTCTCCTGTGGCAGGAAAGTTTTCCAGCCACGGGGGCCTGGCCTCACCCTGGCCACACCCTGGGTTCCAGAACCTTCTTTCTTCATGGGATAGTAGACACTGGGTAGTAGGAGGAACCAGACCAGAGTAAGCAGAATTTCCAACACTTAAGGCAAGGCCTGGGTCACTAGTGTTTATTTGGCCACCACATTGGCCACCTACAGCTAGGGGCCCTTGCTCATGTTACTTACCTACCCTGGGACTCAGTTTTCTCATCTGCAAAATGGGTTGCCAATAGGGCCTAGCTCATTTTGTGTAACTTTTTAAAAACTATTATTACCGAGCTGTGTTATCCTTTGTATACATCCTTCCTTTCCTCTCTGCCTGTCACCTTCCTTTCTGCTTCCCCAATGAGGTTTCTTCCTACCCATCCAGAAGCACCGGGGTCTCTCCCCAGCAGCCCAGGTGGCTGCCACCAAGAGGCCTCAGGGTGGGCAAAGACCCCAAGAGACAAGTGCCTGTGCCACATCTCCAACTCAAAGCAATTGGACAAATGCCACGGGTGGCTTTTTCCAAACTGCCTTCCACAGCCAGTGGCCCTTTTCCTCTCACCTGCCAGGACCTGTATTTCTATTTCTGTGTTTTGAGAGCCTGGGGGGTGGGGGACTCGGAGTAATTAATGATTGATTCTCAGGAGCAGCCACCAGGAGGCCCCAGGGCAGGCTGTCGGCCATTTCCTGAGTTGGGAACAAGGTAGAAATCCTGTGTGGCTGTGGCAGGACTGGGCAAGTGTGTGAGGGGAGAGGATGGTGTGAAAACTGCTGGAGCCCGAACCCTTCTGCCCACTGCCAAATGGTGAGGTCGCACTGGAAGATCTGCCCTTGGCACTGGACTCCTGCCACAGGCTCTCCCCTGTTTCTGGGTCACAGACACCTGAGCACCGCCCCACCCCGCACCTGCCCCTGCGCCCACAGGCACTCAGCCCTCTCTCCAAGCTCACGCAGCTATTTGCAAAGCTCACCCTGTTTGGGGAAAGGGATTAAAGGAGCCGGCTTCCACGGCAAAATTTTAGAAGCATTTTAACGCTGTCCTTCTTGGACGTATTATTGCCCCTGCCTTTGTTGTCTAATAATAATTAACTTTTGTACAGAGCTGTAGTTTTCAAAGGGCTTTCACATTCATAATTCTATTCATCCTCACAACAAAGCTATGAGGTGGGTCTTAGCCTCCCCGCCCCCCACCTGCACCCAAGTCCTACTAAAGAGGAAACTGAGGTTCAGAGAGAAAAAATGATCCCATCATTCCACACAGATAGGGCTGGAGCACCCATCTTCTGACGCAGAAGAGAAAGCTGTTGTTTTCTTAAGGACACTGCACTTCAGTCCCAAGAGTGGTTCATCATGTAGGGGAAGGTGGCCTGGCAGGTAAGCAGGGAGGGTTGTCGGGGGCAGGGGTTGTCCCCCAAGGTTGGCCCCTGGGCAGTCTGCACAGAGAACTAGGCCACATGGGAGTGAGGGGAAGAGGCCCACAGCCCACGCAGGAGTTTAAGGGGCCCAGCCACCAGAGCAGGCAGGTGGTCGGATTCCACCTGTGCAATCAGACATCCACCTCAGAGGCAGTTGAAACTGAACTGCTTTATAAAAGACTCCAAACCATCCTCCTCCCCAGTTCTATTCAGCTAGGATGACCAACTCATCCTGGTGTGCCAAGCACAGTCCCAGTTTAACACTGAAAATCTCACTTCCAGGGCAAACCAGGACAGTTCACCCTGCCACCAGCCCAGTGGACTTCAGCTGAACCTGGAAGGAAAGACCATCTTCTGAAGGCTCAAAAGACCAGCATAGAATTTTTAATGTCACAGAATATTATGCAATCTCAAAACTTTACTATAGTTAGACAATTACCTAGGATTATTGGAATGTTCAACCTGAAAAGAATATTCTTTTCCACAAAGAAACACTCAGATCTGGGGCCAGAGATTTCACATTTTTAAAGGCAAGATAGAGTTACTCCCTCTTCTCTACTCACATATTTTAATACTGGCAATTGAATTAAATTTCCTAAAAAAAAAAAACGAAGTAAAAAAACAAAAAAACCAAGTGAACAAACCTGGCAAGAAAAACCTAAGGGCGTCAAGTCAGAGAAAAAGAGGTAGAGAAGGAGGTGTTGGTTTTAAAAAGTGAGTTCTAAATTTCCCATGGAGCTGAAAGTCTCTTAGTCATGATGCAAATTTATTTTGAAATTTCCAACATCAAAGGAAGGCTTGTGACTTTAATGTTTAACTAAAAGGATCACAGATTTTTTTAAAATTTGAAGAAAAACTGTGAAAGAAGGCATTTTTAACAAATGTATGTACCTCAAACTCTTCATTTTGCAGAGGAAGAAACTGATGCCAAAGAAATGGAGTTAAGGTACTGGTTAATGACATTTCTTTGGCCTTGTTCTCAGAGAATTAGGAAGTATCAACAACCCAGGCCTGATTTCTGATTGTCATAAGAAAGCAGGATCAGTCCAGGAGGCCCACGTTTATCTCTGCAGCCGGGGGCTCCCTGGGTTCTTACTGCTTGTTGGTTCTAGAAGATTTCTGCTGAGTCTCCTCCTGGTCATCTGCTATGTCACCTGCAGTCTGGAGAAGGGGTGTTCTCAAGGGTGTGGGTGTGTTTTTCCTTGAGTAGTAACCCTGAACAGTTGCATGTTGAGTTTTCATATTGAAATGAATTTTCTCAAATGAGTTCATAAATGGGACAGGTATATTTTGACGACTTGCTGTTTTTGTCCTCTGAGAAGTTTCACCCAAAAAGGGGAGGGGGAAGGGAGCTTTGTTTTGTTGGGAAGTAAAAGCACAGTGGCAAGAATGGATGCAGGAGTTCAGATATTGGTACCTATCAGATCCTTGGTTTGGGGAGAACCTCTGCAGTTTCCAGCACTGTTTGGATGGGGGCTTGTGGGACTCACGCAGGAGCGCTGCTGCCTCTCTGGTGGGAGGGGAGCCTGGGTGAACGAGGAGAGTCTCCGTTGTGGCCTCCACACTCCAAGGCTCCCCTGCAGCAGCAGGCGATGGGCCAGGGTGGCACACTGGCCCGTGGGGTCAGTAGGACCTATGCCAAGATGCATTTCCACCCTGACACCCTTCGATCTCCTTTCTCCAGTGGTGTCTGACCGGAGAAGTTGAGGATCTGGACCTTTGGAAACCACAGAGCAATTTGAAATAACAATTTTGGAGAAATGTTTAAAACAATAAAACACTGACTGTTTTTGTTTAGAGTCCTTTGCAAATATGGAGGATCCATTTAGGGACACAGGCATTCTTTTCTCTTCCTTTTCACAAAATGATTCATTTTTCTTAAACTCAGAGATGAGAAAGACTGGGTGGAAGGAGGTAATGGATTAACGTGAAAGATAAAACTTTTTCTTTAAGTAAGCAAAACTGTGTGTTTTCACAAATCCCTGGCTTGCCCCCTCTCCCTCTAGAACCTTGCTTAGCCTCTGTGTCCCAGAGCAGCCCCTGGAGGGAGCCGGCTGTCCTCTCGGCTGTGATCCTGAGTGGAGAAGAGATCGAGTCTGGCCAGAGACTGGGGGAGCACCCAGGCGTTGTCCCACGTGCCTGCAGATGCTCCAGGACATTTGCTCGCACACGCCCACCCACAGTCTTCCCTGTACCCCAGTTCCCTGGCAGAAAGAAGCGCCATAAGGAAGGATGGGGCAGCGTTGGCCATCACTAGGCCTCTCGTTCGCTCCCCTTCTTATCCACACCCAGGCCCCCACATTGCCGAGGCTGTTGGTGCTGCAGACCAGGCCGGAGGCCAGCTCAGTCTCGTCCCTTTTTAAAGCCCTTAACGTGGAGGTGAAATCTAGGACCTAACTGCCCTTCCCCTGAACTCTTCTCCCAAGTTCAAAATCCTCAAGGAGCAAGAAAGAGGGCAGGTGGCTGTGTGTGTGTTAGGGAGGAGAGAGGAGTCCCAGCGGCATGGGTTGTGTGACCACTTTATTAACCCAATACAGTGAGGGTGCGGATCTGGTGGGTGTGGAACAGAGGGGACCAGTTTCAGGGGCTGATCAGGGTTCTGCTCTGGAAGAGGTCTCGCCCGTGGGGAGAAGGTGGGACAATCTTGTCTGCAGTTCTGTGAGCAGGCTCTACCTTAAGAACCAGGCATAAACAAAAGTTCCCTCCTAGAAAAGAAAAGGCCGCATCCTGGTGAGCAGACCAGAGGTGAGGGGGGCACACAGGGTGATCTAGAGAGACATGTCTCTGGCTTCTGGTGGTCAGTGACCCCAGGAGGACCCACAAAGCTTCATCCTCAGGTCCTGAGGCCTCCACCTCCCACTCCTTGAATATATCCGGGCCTGCTGAGTTGGGGCTCAGCTGCCTTCCTCTATTCCCTCCGCTGGAAACAGAAGCTCCAGCGAATGTTTCTAACTCCTGAGTCCACTCAGCCATGTCCCCCTTGCAAAATCCTCCCCTTCCCGCACCCCCCTGCACCCAGCCAGCCAATCCGCGGCCTTCAAGCCTCGCCAGACCCATCTCCCAGGGCCTCGGCGGGATAAAACCAGTCAGCGATGCCGGGTGGATGGGAACTAACTTCGGACAAGGAAAGACGCGGGGCCCAGGGTACTCTCACGGGCGGACCCAGGCAGTGAAGGCCTGCGGCCGGCCAGCCAGGTATGTCGCCCAGGGGTTAGCAGGAAAGTGGTTGGCAGAGATGGGGGTTTCGAGAAAGGACAGGGTCCCAGGAAGCCTGGCAGCCTTTTCCCTCCCAAGCTAAACGGGATAATGCTGGGGCAGCGGAGAGAGAGGGCATCTGAGCTGGAGTTTGGAGCTTCCTCAGCGCACCTTCAATCTCGGATCCTCTGGGCAGGCGTGATGATGGCTAGGCCAAGCTGAGGTTGGCCCCACTTCCCCTAAAAATTCTCCGACTCCTGCCTGGCAATGAAAGTCTAAGGGATGGGCCCTGGGAAGGGGGTCTAAGGTTGCGGGCATCGAATCTTATGCCCCTTCTCTGGGTCTGCGCAGGGCAGCGGCGTGGCGGCGGGCGCGGCCAGGACCTGCATCAGTAAGCCCTGAGCCCTCGGCGGGCTGCGAGTGACTCCCAGCGATGCCTCACAACTCCATCAGATCCGGTAAGAACGCGGCGCGGCCAGGACCCCTAGCCCCCGCGCCGCCGTGCGTCTGTGCGTGCGCCCCGGCCGGTGGGGCTGGGAGTGAACGCGCGGGGCTCGCGGGATCCACCTGCGTGGGGGCGCAGCTGGGGGCGCCTTGGGCCTGGCTCTCCGCTGGAGCTCCTGCGCTGTTTTCTAGCATTAGGGTCCCCTTGGCCGGCTGAGCCGCCCTCCCCAGGCCTTGGTTTCTGCGGACCACATGGAGCAGTGAGGGGGTCCCTGTGGAGTTACATATAGGGGGTGTCGGCGCCTCACGTGCAGTCTTGCATGGGCCATTAGGGTGGACATCCTTCGCGCTCTCAGTCCCTGGGCCGCACCGGTGCTGGACTTGTAGCTCCCCTGCCCCCGACCTCCCAACCCTGGTCCTCGGGTGCGCGCACTCCTTGCCAGTGACTCTCCTGGCGGGACTGTGAGCTCCCCGCATCTCTCAAGCCAACGGGAAAGGAGCTGGTGGTCAGGGGCCTGGGAGCCCGGAGCGCACTCAGACCCTCGGACTCTTCCTTGCCCGGCACGGGACAGGCGGGGAACCGCGAGCGAGCGGGGCATCTCCCTGGTAAGGACCGAACTGCCCGCGGAGCCGAACCCCACTCCCCACCGGGCCCGGCCCAGGGCCTTCAAAAGCGCTCGAGCTCCCAGGCCGCGGCGCCTGCTCTCCTCGCTACTGGCCAGGGCCAGGAGAGGTCTTTGCGGAGAAGGAGCCCCACGGTCGCGGCCGGTGGGCACAGCCGCCCTGGCGCGAAGAGAGTGCGGACAGCGGGCGGAGGCGCGGTCGGCTGGCGGTGATGGATGGAGCCTTAGCCGGCTGCGGGGAAGACAATTTATGGGGCCAGGGCGCATCGCTATCGATTTGGGCCGGCGAAGTGAGAGGAAATCAATATTTCAGATGAATTCTCGGCGAATATGAAGTCCCGCTCGGCAAACGGGACATTTATTATAATAAAGAGGGTCGGATCGGGCGCGGCGCCGGGATCTGAGATCTCTATTTAGCTGAGTGCGCCACGGGGTCGGGCTGTGTGGCGCAGTCTCCGGTCCCAGGGCCGAGGCTCCACTAGAAGGGGAAACCCCTGGGGCGCCAGAAGGTTTTACCCGTCTTCGCGCTGCAGTCGCAGACCCAGTCAGCAGTACGATCCCTTCCTGCCCCCCCAGACCCCTCGAGAGCCGTGCCGAGCTGTCCCGCCGCCCTCAGCGGGCTCCGGGTTGCTTCGGGGCCTCGGGTAGAGACCTAGCGGCTCCTACCCAGAGCGGCGTGATTGGCGAGCCCGGGACAGAGCAGAGCTGACTGGCACCCCTTTCCGCTCCGCACCCGAGCACTCGCTCGTGGGCCACTTTCTAGGATCAGGACCAGGTTTTAACCCTTTAGTTTTTAGCTACACCGAGATACAATACCGGACGTCACCCCGCCTCGGGTCCAGGAGCGTTCGTGAGGCCTGTGCAGTGCCCGGTGCCGGGTGCCGGGTGCCGGGTGCCGGGTGCCGGATCCCATGCCAGGCTGGTCCGGGACACTTCTGCTCAGCCCCGAGGTTCAGTCTTTTCCCCCTGACCTTCCCCTGACCTTTCGGGTGGTGGCAGGAGGAGTGGATGCTCTCGGACCTGGAATTCACGGGGCTGGGCCAGACTCTTCCCCTCGGACGCTGCCCAAGACATAAGACCGCGTCGCAGTCCCTCGGGTTGGCTTGTTTTTTCTCCCTGGCTACTTATTTTTATTCTAGAAGCACTCATTATAATAAATGGGAATAAAAAGGGAAACATTTAAAAGGCATAATTTATTTTTTTTCTTTAGTTTTAATAAGTATCAGTCCCAGATGATGAGACACCGCGCTTTCCCATGAGCTCAGATGCAAATCGCCCTTGGGTTAGGGGAGGGAGCCGTATGCCCTGGCCCTGCCAGGTAATTTATTTATTTACTTACTTATTTATTTACTTTTTTGTCTGGGGGAGGCAGTCGGGCTGCTTCTACCCCCGTCCCAAAACAAAGAAAGAAATAAAGCTGCGAAGGAGGACGCGACTTTCTTCTTTAGTTTAATTTAAATGCTAATAATACAGACGAAAATTGCCTATAACACAGCACAGACGGTTCAAGGCCATTCCCTGTTTCTTTTCTGAACCATTTCTTGGCAAACCTGAGCAGGAGACCCTCTGTCTATCTGCGCAGTTCACTTGGCACTGTTGGCTATATTTACAGCTAAGCTGACCCCTCTAGTTATTTTGTTTGTGTGTTTGTTTTCTTATAAACCCATTCTCTCTTTCTCTCTCAGCTTTTAGCAGTTTTCCTCTTTTCCCCAGGCACTTCCATTTCTGAGTTTGGCTGTGCATGGGGAGCTCCCATTTAAGTTTTGCTCTGGAGCAGAATGGGGCGCGGGCAGCCGCGCGGCTTTTCGCGGGAGCGAGGCGGAGGGAGAGCGCACCCTTTGCTATAACCCAGTCGCTCCGCAAAAGTTTCCTGCGCCGCCTCCGGCGCGGCTCATCCTCGCTCACCCTTGGCCGATCTTGCTTTGCAAACACATCTTACTATTTTTCTACAGCTTCATTCTGAAAGAGTGTTGAGAGCGAATTATTTTGATGTCCGCAGGTCAGCGACGGGCCAAACGTTCGGTAGAATCCGCTGGGATTTTTTGTTGTATCAGGGAACAAAATCCTCTAACGCAAAAACATGTTCTAAAAAATATGCAAAGATGCACAAGAAATGACAAATGCCACAGAAATATTAAAGTGGGAAAATACTGTATCAATGAGGAAGAGAGTTTAGTAAATGCAAGCAGGTTGTCATTAAAAGTTATGTGAAATAACGTGTCGCGACCCGCTTCCTTTGGTGCTGAAAAATAGGTGGTTCAAGTGGTAAAATGAGACTTGAGATCCAAGACGGAAGATGCCTCTAACTTCCCGGATCTGAGATCTAAAAGCCCCATTCTCTCCTCTTGGTTTTAGAATGGAGGAAAGGGGAATAAATGCATTTGGGAAGAATCTGTTTTCTTCCCGTGTTTCTTGCCTGGGTTGAAAATAAGGTCTTCTGGGGAGGGGAAACAGTCTTGAGAAACATAAAGAGGTTTTTGGGCTTCCTCAATTCATCTTTGTTTCAAGATGGTCTATCCTCCCACCCTCCTCAATGCAAGTTAATTAGGAGATAATTTAGCTACCTTGTGAATTAGTTTTAAGATAAGTATCTTTTCAAGCTTTGTCACTTTAATTGCTCCATTGATTGATAAGAAGTAATTATTTCTAATTGACACTTTTTTTGATGTCTATTGGAAGCATTTATTTGGGACTTTTTGGGGGGTGGAAGGAAAGTTAATTAATTTTATCGGTCTGTACCCAAAAAGACTCTGCCTAATTTTGCTGAAGAGGACAAAGGAAGTGAAGAAAACAAAATAAAAATCAATCTTATAGAATTTTAATTATTGAGAGATATTTTGGTTCAAATTAGAGGGCATCTACTAATATAATGTGTCAAAACTTTCTATTTATGGCCTCAAATCTCTAATTTTAATGAGCTGCATGTTTTATAGGTATACTTTTTCCCATGGATATACTCAAAAACCCTCTATGCGCTTCCTTCATTTTGGAGCAGTTTCCTCCGCTTTGTAATTAATTTTTGTGAAAAGTAAAATCAATAGAACTCAGTGTGCTCAGAATAAATGAAATCATTTTTGTAAGAGCTAATTGTAAGAAAGATTTACTAATAGTTATCCTTGTTTTGTAATTATTGATGGAGTTGGGTATAAAGGTGAAACTTTACTTACAGTGACATGCCTTTTCATACCTAAACCTTGGAGTAAACAGTTTAATCATTCACATCCTCGAGAACCATTTTACTGTGAGAGAGAAAGAAGTGAAAGAAAGAATAAAGAGAAAAAGAAAGACACTGAAAGGCGGCATTGGGGGAGGGGGAGGAGAGAGAGGGAGAGAGTGTCCAGAGAGAATAAAATGAAAGCACTTATTTCAAAAACTAAGGTAGCCAGGTGCATGGAACCTCTGCCATTCAATATAATAAAACCGAAATCCTGCTTTCCAGGTACATTTTTTAATGCAAAATCTCTACCACAACCTCTAAGCAACCCCTAACCACCACCAGATACCCCCACTTTTATATGCATAAAAGAGAGGCAGAGTCTTCTTCAGAAGCTGGCTGGTCCCGATCTTGGGTGTCTGGGTGTCAAAGTCATGATTTGGATTCCATGAAAAGGAAGCAAGAAAATACACATTGTGCTTTGGGGACTTACAAAGAGATTTGAGGGCTGTTTTTATTTTATTTTATTATCAAAGACCCTGTGATCTTCTTCCCTAGTTGTATGTACACGATCTGTTTATAGACACACTTGTGACTTACTGACACAGGAAAACATTCCCACATTAACCCAAAGGGGAGACGCCACACAGGCACACACTCACGCACATCTAGGACGGGAGAAACACAGTCACACAAGAGGCACTCCTGTCAGGTTAATTTCAGCCAGTGCCCTTTTCAAACATTTATGTATAAAATCTTGTCTGGTTTTAATGATGTTTCTCCCAGATTACATGGAGCTGCAAGAATGAGGAAACATTTTAAATGAAAAAGAAATTTAAGACATACAAACAGCAGATAATATCACATACCAACCTCACTATTAGTGAAACTGAAAAAAATATATAAATAATGCAAAAAAAAATTAGCAAGGGAGAGTTTAGTAATGGAAAATTCCCCTGCAATTAAATGAAACAGTAATTTAGTGGAGATATGCCTGAATGAATTAGCATTTATTAATTGGTTCTCATAAAAACAATTTGTGTGTATATCTGAGAGAGAGAGAGAGAGAGAGTTGGGAAGGGGGGCATTTAAAGTATATATTTTCCATAGGAAAAGTTCCTAACATGTTCATATGAAATTATGTCATTATCACATTCTATTTTGTGAAAAATCCCAAGTCTGTCACTGTCAAGTTTTACCTGCTCACAGAAAGCTTGGGGGCAAAGGAAAGGAGACC